ATGGTATCCATATTTAAAAATATTTTTAACTATTGCTTGAGACGCAGAGAGATACAAAGAGTTCCCATCATTGGTTCATTTTGCTTATCGTAATTGCAGTCATGTGCTGTGTAACAATCAGCTATGTTTTGGTTAATGACAGACCACAAATATGGTGTGGCCCCCTCAGATTGTGTTGCCTAGTGATGTCATAGCCAATTCAGTCTGTATAAGGTACACTGTATGTTTGCACAATGACAAAAGTGCCTAATGACACGTTCTTCCGTACATGTCCCTATCATTCAGTGATGCATGACTGTGTGTTCACATTAAGAATGAGCAATACAGACTCTGGATAAGTGCCTTAGAAACTGTCTCATGCGTGAAGTACGTGAGTTTTATGGCACAGATTTTACGGCACCTATTCTGACTTTCAGAATACATTTTGGCTTACATTTTCTTTGCTGTATTCCCAATAACTGGATACATGACCTCTAGAAAAATGAGGGCTTAATGCACTTAAAGTTGCCTCTTCCAGGGCCAGCGTTGTGGTGTAGCGGGTAAAGCCGCCACCTGCAGTGCCAGCATCCCATATGGATGCTGGTTCGAGTCCTGGCTGCTCCACTACTGATCCAGCTCTCTGCTGTGGGCTGGGGAAGCAGTAACAAGATGGCTCAAGTCCTTGGGCTCCTGCACCTGCATGGGAGACCCAGTAGAAGCTCCTTGCTCCTGGCTTTGGATCAGCGCAGCTCCGGCTGTTGCGGCCAATTAGAGAGTGAACCAGTGATGGAAGACCTCTCTTCTCTTTCTGCCCCTCCTTCTCTGTTTAACTCTTTCAAGTAAATAAATAAATCTTAAAAAAAAAATACTTGCCTCTTCCTATTTTTTTCTTCCTCTTCCTTTTTTAAAAAGATTTTTTATTTTATCTGAAAGCCAGAGTTACAGAGAAGCAGAGGCAGAGAGAGGTCTTCCATCCACTGGTTCACTCCCCAGATGGTGGCAACGCCGATCTGGAGCCAGGAGCTTCCTTCGGGTCTCCCATGTGGGTGCAGGGGCCCAGGGAGTTGGGCCATCTTCCAAGGTATCAGGAACAGAGATTCAGGAATTACTGCTTCTGGGATATTAAAACCCAAATTTATTATCTGTTGACTTTAATGTGTTTCACGAGCTTTGACACCTGAGAGGTTAAGCTCTGGGAAATATATATTTCTCTTTCAGGTTCAAGGACATTCTATCAAAATGGCACAAGTTTCTCTGTGGTTTCTGTGAAAGATGGGGGAATTCCTAGAGAATGAGGCCAAGGCAGCATAATGACAGTTCTGTTTGGGGGAGGAGTGTTGGTGCCAATGCAAAAAAAAAAATTTAAAGATACATTATGATTGGAGAAGAAAAATATTCTGAGGTCTATCCAATTTCACTACTAAAAACTTGGAAAAAATGGCAGTTGAAAATGACTTTAAGATGAGAAATACCAGCCACCCCTGATTTTCTCACCTCCATCTCCTCCCACTCCATCTGTCTCCTCATTCCCAGACTCTGGGAGACCACTGGCCCCTTTCTCTCCTGCAGCTCCCAGACTGATGGAAGCTGCTGACAAAGGGAGAAAGCCAATTTTACCTGCCATAAATTTTTGCTTCCTCAACTCCTGTGCTTAGTTTTCACCCAACTTCTCCCATCACATATGCTCCAGAAAATAAATATTCCCACTACTCCTTTAGAATCCTTTTCTGTGCCCTAACCACATTCCCCCTACTCCAGCTTCAGGGTCGTACACCACTAATTTCCCCTCTTTTTCCTATTTTCAATTATTAATTTTCCATGGACCTTCCACTATCTTACAAATCCATTCACTCTGCCTTATCCTAAAAGCAAACAAAAACAGGAAAAAAAAAATACTGGGCTGGGAGTTTGGCATAGCAGTTACTATGCCGTCTGGGATCCCTGCAATCCTATCTGAGTGCCTGACTCACATCTGAGTTGACGCGGCAGCTCCACTCCCCAGTCAGCTTCCTGCTAATGCGCATCCTGGGATGCAGTGGGTGCTGACTCAAGCATGTGTGTCCCTGCCACCCCACGGCAGACTGAAGAGTGAACTCCCAGCTCCTGACTGTTGCAGGCATTTGGGGAAGGAACCAGTGCATGGGAACTGTCTTTCTCTCTGTGTCTCAAAAAAAGAAAAACCACTAAAAAATACCATTCTTCTTCCAGTCTTACTTTCAGCTCATTTTCCTCCACTAACCAAGTGTTTTTATTTTCCTGACAAATCAGCTGCAGGTCCAATCTACTGTCTCCACTGCCACACTCCACATGCCCTTCTTAAATTGCTGCAATCCAGGCGCACACCCTCAGCATTTTAATGGACCAGTTCCCTAAAGGACTATTAATCACCTCCTAGGAGTCAGATTTCCTTGGCCTATTTGCAAGATTCATCCTCCTTAATGTCTTCACAATTAATATTTGGCACTATTGCTGACCCCCCCAACTTCTAGAAATCTCCTCCTGCCTGCTCTCTGATGCACAGACTTCCCGGTTTTCTTCCTCATGTTCACCTTTTTCTCAGTGTCCTCCTCTTCCTTCCCCTTTGCAAGAATGTATTTTCCAAAGATCTACATTACATTATCTTTACTCTGTATAGGCTCATCCATTCGATGGCCCCTAAGTTGGATTTTTATGCTTTCTCAATTCCCTTCCTCCAACTCACTCCTCAGCCGATCCCTGGTCCTGTCGTTCCACTGAATGATCTCCAAGTTGGGCAATGCAATGGACTCTTCCAGGCCTCCTTTTCTTTCTTTTTTCTCTTTCTCTTTTTTTTTTTTTTTATTTGACAGGTAGAGTTATAGACAGTGAGAGAGAGACAGAGAGAAAGGTCTTCCTTCTGTTGGTTCACCCCCCAAATGGCTGCCACGGCTGGCGCTGCGCTGATCCGAAGCCAGGAGCCAGGTGCTTCCTCCTGGTCTCCCACATGGGTGCAGGGCTAGGCCTCCCTTTTGCTTGACTTCTCAGCAGACTGACTGCTGACCATTTATCTCCCTTCCTGTGCTTCCCTGAGACAGTACTCCCTAGTTTCTTCAACTTTTCTGACATCTTTTCTGTTTGAGGCAAGCCCAGGCCACATCTCTCAACTCAACCTTTCAACATTAGACTCCCCTAGTCCACTCTGTATTCACATCCAGCTTCAGCTGCATGAACATCGGGAAGACTTACAAATGTTTATCTCCAGCCTACACTTGAGTTCCAGACACACGTGTGTACACGTGCACATAACCACACATATCGTACATGGACACTTCACGACTCAGATCTCTCAGATGCCACAAAGGAATGTCAGACTCAGCATGTTCAAAACAAACTTAGGATCCCTTCCCAGATCTGGTTCTCCTACAGCACTGCAGGCAACAGGAGGGTCTGAGCCACGCTCTAAGATGAAAGTGACTCTGAGATTGAACAGTACGCCCATCCATCCAGTTGTGTGAGGCAAACCAAAAAATCATGCCTGAGCTAGCTCTTTTACCCTCACATCTCCATTCAGTACTCATATCAAATCTGTTTTCCACCCTAACTATCTCCCAGGTGTCTATTCCTCTTCATCTACATTGCCACTATTTTAATCCAGAGGAATAAGAATTCAAGTAAAATACTGTTAAGTATGCATATTAGCCTTGTTATCTTCTAAAAATATTTTTAAAAAGAGTTATGCCAGATTTCCATAGGTCTCCTTCCACATGAATATAGCCACAAATCCAGAAATGAAAAGGAAAAAAAAAAGGTTTCCTTTTTTTTTTTTTTTTTTTTGACAGGCAGAGTGGACAGTGAGAGAGAGACAGACAGAGAGAAAGGTCTTCCTTTTTCCGTTGGTCTACCTCCCAATGGCTGCCGCGGCCAGCGCGCTGAGGCCAGCGCACCGCGCTGATCCGAAGCCAGGAGCCAGGTGCTTCTCCTGGTCTCCCATGCGGGTGCAGGGCCCAAGCACTTGGGCCATTCTCCACTGCACTCCCTGGCCACAGCAGAGAGCTGGACTGGAAGAGGAAAAACCGGGACAGAATCTGGTGCCCTGACCGGGACTAGAACCCGGTGTGCCGGAGCCGCAGGCGGAGGATTAGCCTATTGAGCCATGGCGCCGGCCAAAAAAAGGTTTCTTAACGGCGAGGCAAATTGATTATATGAAGCTATTACTACCTATGTAGTATTGTTAACCATTTCTAACCCATTCTGATTGGAGGTCTCGCATAAAGAAAGAACTTGTATTCATTACAAAATTAAGGTTTCTGGTTTAACAGTTTAGAGTAACCAGTTTAACTGGGCTCTGCATTTAGGATGGAAACAAATGGTTTCAGAGGCTTTCACTGTTTGTGTGCCCAGTACTTATGACGAGAAGTTTATATAATGATCCAGTTTTACAGGAGCCCATTCCACCTGGTAAAGTCTACGTTTTATGTCGGGGATGCTTATAATACATTTTAGAAAGGTTTGTATCCACAAAAGTTAAGAAAAATTTAAAGTTCCACATATTCAACCTGCATGACTTCATTTTTGGACGAAGCTGGGTAAATGAAGTGTTGCTGAATATTTCATATAAGAACTGGCACTGCCCTTACAGGAGACGGAATAGATAGTTCCTGAATTTCCTCTGAAGTATTACAGATGATGACTCATACTTAGCAGCATAAATCAGTTTATGTTCTGGTCTGTACTGCCAGCAAGTAAGCAGTAAAAATATTTCGGTCAAAAACCTAAACAGATGACTTGAGATTTCTCAGAAAAATTAGAAGGAAAAGGAAATCTGTTGTTAGCTGAACGTCCTACTTTAGTGATAGAACAAGAATAACTCTGCCTTCTTAAATTCTTAAGAATTTAAATTGGGATCACTGGACTCAGGACAAATGGGTCACAGGAAGAAAAATGTCAAGCAGACCATAACAGAAACCATCCAAAGGCATTAAGAGACTGACCGCTGGGAAGAATCAGTCACAAACAGCCTGTGGCGCATGGGAGGGTCTGAGATGACCTCACTGTCACAGTACCTGCGGTGGGCGAGTTAGCGTGGTGCGACTTTTTTGGCAGGTTGAAGATCTGTTCACCAGGGTCAGGGGGAGGAATCGCATCTTGCCCTTGCCGAGCCTCTACGGGATCATACTCCTTCCCGTCGTAGTTAGCATCATAGAATTTCTTAAACCACTGAATAAAATCCAGGTTGTCTTGGAAACGGCCTTTCACTAGCTTCTCCACTGGAATTACCTATAATATAAAATCACCACGTGAATCAAGGACCTCAGGCTTGTTTGCTTTAATACGACGGAAGTGCTCCCTCAGTAAAACAGAAAAGATGATTCCTACGTGCAGTCATGACAATCAGTCTTGCTCTTTTTTTAGCCAGCTACATTCTAGAACTAATACAGTTTTTCACCATATTTAATCATACTGAAACATCATAGTTGGTTCTCCTGGAATATTTAATGTTTTTGAACAAACCAGAGAAAAGGAGGAGTATCCTCAGCCCCTACTTTATTTACTGTCAAAACGTCTCCCCTCGAAAACATCGGCCTGGAATGTTGTGCTCTTTCCAGAATGATGAGTTCTCTTCATTTCTTGGTAATGCTGGGTCCAGATGTGTTGCAATAAATTCTTCCAACGATTGTAGCTACTAGACAGTGCAAAGGAGTAAGATCCCTATCAATGAAAATGTATACCAATCTAAGGGTTTGTATGAAACAAAATGAGTTTTCCACAGCCTATTTACAATGTAGAGCATAAGTGAAATTCACCACAGTGCAGGTCTCCTTATCTCCTGGCCCATGCGGGAGCACAGCTGGCTTGCTGGTTGTGGTCAGGAGAAATGGAGGCTGAGAGGTCCCAGAAGCCCCTCGGAAGAGCAGGTGCACAGCATTCACACCGACTTCCCACCGGGGAAGCTTGGCTTCTCACAGTCATTCTTTTCGACTGCAACCTAAAGAGGCATCCAGTATGCCCGATACAGGTCTTGCAGAAACCTTCAAGATCAGGACAAGGTCAACAGGTGGCCTGATTGCTCTCATCCAGGGGCCACTACTTTGAAAGTAAAATGAAAGGTCCCTCACTACTGGAATTGGACCCTCCCCACTTTTTTCTTCCTACATCCTTGGTGGGAATTCTAGTTTAACGTGAACCCTGAAAGAGTGACGGGCTAGGGTGTCTGTCAGATTGTGTGTGGGTGTGTGAGCACGTAAGCCAGGGAGAAGAGCATGGCTTCTCCATGTGACAACATGAATGGAAGCTGTGCAAATTAAACTTTTAGCAAGGCTTTTGCCACTGCAGGAGCTATAAGTCGTTGCTCTCCTAAAATTGGGCCTCTTTAAGCAACGTAGAAAGACCTTCAATAGTAGTGACAATTTGCAAGAAAGAAGTAACCGATGCATTTTAGGCTATCCACTCAATTACAGTATTAGTGATGATAACGTTTCCTAGGCTGCTAAAATAGAAACTAAGCCAAGTATAGAACAAAGGAAGGAGAAGTAAGCTTTGGGAGGAAACCCCGTTTGTCATGAAGGTGCTTGTGGTAGTAGACTTCAGTGCTGACCGTTCTCTCCTCCTGTTTCCCCAGACTTCAGCAAAGTGTGCTCACAGGAAGAATTCCTACCACACACAGACTGACTTGGCTTCTCAGTGTGCTATTTAACTACTTTTAAGGTCTCTGAGTTTTAAATTTTTACTTCCTTTTGGCTTCTTAGAGGGGAAGACTCTTTAAATGAACACACTACTCTGTTTATTGCCAGACATGTGAACACTGAGATAGTTTTAGATGACAGTGGCACATTCTCTGTTAAAAAAAGCACTTATTTCTGCTGATTTAATTCTGCATTCCTCATCAAAATGAAAGTTTCCAGGGCAGAAGTGAAGAATCCGAAGTGGCTTGCACAATGTGCACAGAGCCTTCTGACACATCACTGGGCTATGGCAGACGTGAAGAGAGGTATGCAGCACTGACTCTCTGGGACTTCTGGAAGTGATCAGAGCACACTGAAGCTAGAAGGCTAATAAAGGCCATCAAAGCCAGTCTCCTGCCATGGCAAGAATTTCCCTTCAACACTTTTTTTTTTTTTTAAGATTTATTTATGTATGTGAAAGGCAGTGAGACACACAGGGAGATCTTCCATCTGTTGGTTCCCTCCCCAAATGGCCAGAAGCCTTGAATTTCATCTGGGACTATGTGGGTGGCAGGGGCCCAACTACTTTGGGCCACCTTCCATTGCCTTCCCAGGCACATTAGCAGGGAACTGGATGGGAAGTGGAGCAGCTGAAGTTCGAACTGGTACTCATATGGATTGCTGGCCTTGTGTGTGGTGGCTTAACCTGCTGTACTACAATGCCGGCCCCACTCTTCAACATTGTCAAAAACTGCTTATCCATCCTCTGTGCACACAATTCTAGAAAGATATGGAGCCCACTAATTTGCTTTATAGCAAGTTACACCAATAAACCCACAAATCAGTGTTTCTTTTCTCTGCAGGTATAGAGAAACGAATGAAAAAGCACAAGAGGCAAGCTAATCTATTTTTTTTTAAAGATTTATTTATTTGAAAGGTAGAGTTACAGACAGTGAGAGGAAGAGACAGAGAGAAAGATCTTCCTTCTGTTGATTCACTCCCCAAATGGCTGCAATGGCCGGAGCTGCGTGGCACACTAATTTACAAGAGGAGAACCCACATAACTCTAATTTTGAATAAATGTGCAAGTAGCTCACTGGAAATCAGCTACAATAAAGGACGTAAGAAAGTTGAAAAGAATCTAGAACATTGAGATGTTAAAGAGACCCTATGTTTTGAAATTAAAATTCCGAGAAAGCCAGAAGCCAAAGTTTTCTGTTTTAAAATTTAACTAATTTATCTGAAAGGCACAGTAAGAGAGAGAAACAGACAGAGAAATCTTCCACCACTGTTTCACCCCCAAAATGGCTGCAATGGCCACGTGTGGGCCAAGCCGCTGCTTTCCCAGGCACATTAGCAGGGAGCTGGATAGGAAGTGGAGCAACAGGGACTTGAACCAGTATTTACACGGGATGTCAGCATTGCAGGTGGCAGTTTAACCCACTGCATCACAACTCTGGCCTCCCAAATTTTTCTTAATACTTGGTTAGAGTGCTTTTATTTGTGAAGATAACAACTAAACTAAATAAAAAATGTGTAGTTTACCAAACTTTTCTTTCCTTTAACCTTTCTCTTATAACTCCATATTTTTCCCATAGTCTATTTATTACTACTATTTATGCAAAGTAAAACATTTCATTTCTCCATTATACAGAATTTTTCCTTTTCAAGACTATTTACTCTAAGAGATGTATCCTTAATAAGGAACCTTAATAAGGAACCTGGGCCGGCGCCGCGGGTCACTAGGCTAACCCTCCGCCTTACGGCGCCGGCACCCCGGGTTCTAGTCCCAGTCGGGGTGCTGGATTCTGTCCCGGATGCTCCTCTTCTAGGCCAGCTCTCTGCTATGGCCCAGGAGTGCAGTGGAGGATGGCCCAAGTGCTTGGGCCCTGCATCCCACGGGAGACCAGGAGAAGCACCTGGCTCCTGCCATCGGATCAGCGTGGTGCGCCGGCCGCAGTGCGCTGGCCGCGGTGGCCATTGGAGGGTGAACCAACGGCAAAAGGAAGACCTTTCTCTCTGTCTCACTCTCACTGTCCACTCTGCCTGTCCAAAATGAACAAAACAAAAAGAAATCCTTGAAATCCTTTGGGCAATAACCTGTAATTGTTTGCCAGCCCACTTTATGGTATGAAGCTTTTAAATTGTATAAACATTGATTAATGCAGTGCTTTAGTGTAACTAGTTACATCAACAAAATAAACAGAAAAAAGCAATATTTCTTTAAAAAAATAAGGAACCTGTATTAAATATGTATTTGAACAGTAGTAAATACATAGAAAGAGACTGGGTGGGCTTTAGCGATAGTCCCGTATTGGGAAGGGGGTGTGGGGAAGATCCCAGTGCCTAATCCATTTGTACCTGCATCATTACAGGACAAAATCCTAGCAATTCAAAGAGGGAAAAGGACAACTGATGGACACTGGTTGAGACTCTGAAGGCACAGAATATGTTGGACATTTAATCATATTCTCATTTCAAATCTGTAGCCAAGGTGAAGGGTTTTGAGTGTCACTGTACTGATGGGCACATAAAGAACTTAACTTGCTCAAGCCATGAAGCTAAGATTCAAACCCACGCTGTTCCCATCACAGCATGCTGTTTTTCCAAAGGAAGAAAATACACAGGAAACCACAGTGGCACCTAGCAAACATAAGATTTTCTCATGTTCAAACCTAAATAATAATAATAATATTTTCTTTTCCCTTTTTTCTTCTCTAAGAAGTTTCATTGGTATAATTATTTTTTAAAATTTATAAAAGGGAATAAATTTCATATATTTCATATATACAGTTTTAAGAGCATGATGATACTTCCCACCCCACCCTCCCTCTCTCCCTTATTTCCACCCTCCTTCCTTTTCTTATTTTTCTTTTAATTTTTACATTGACAAACTTTTCAATTTTCTATATAATCACAAGCTTAACACTCTACTAAATAATTAGAACAAGTAGTAAGTAGAAAAACTACTCAAGGGTAGAGACAAGGGCTATAAAAATAATCATCTCAAAATTTCAATTTTGCTCACATACAGTTTTTTTGTACTTTGTGTATTAGGTACCACTAATCAGTGAAAACACATGATATTTGTCTTTCTGGGAATAGCTTACTTCACTAAGCATAATTGTCTCCAGTTGCATCCATTTTGTTGCAAAAGACAAGATTTCATTCTTTTTTATGGCCGAGTAGTATTCCAGGATCTTATATATACCATAATTTCTGTATCCAGTCATCCGCTGATGAACATCTGGGTTGATTCTGTATCTTAGCTATTGAGAATTGATCTGCTATAAATGTGGGGGTACAGAAAACTCTTTCATATGCTGATTTCATTTTCTTTGGGTAAACTGCAGGAGGGGGACGGCTGAGTCATATGGTAGACCTATTCTTAGATTTCTGAGGAATCTCCATACTGGCTTCCACAATGGTTGTATGATTTTACCTTCCGAACATTCCCAGTGTATTAGGGTACCTTTTCCCCCACATCCTTGCTAGCATTTGTTATTTTTTTGATTTTTAAGATGACAGCTTTTCTAACTGGGGTGTGGTAAAACGTCATTGTAGTTTTATTTGCATTTATTAACAAGTTTCATAGGTGTAATTCTTATTAAGAATGGCTACAAATTTAGAAAATTTCCTGAAATAAAAACCCCACACTGGGGCTGATACTGTGGTGCAGCAGGTTAAGCCTCTGCTTGCGATGCTGGCATCATATACTGGAACGTGAGCTAAAGTCGCAGCTGCTGCACTTTGGAGCCAGCGTCCTGCTAATGTGCCTGGGAAAGCAGCAGGAGACCTGGATGAAATTTCTCTCTCCTGGTTTTGGCCTGGCCCAGCCCTGGCTGCTGTGGCTATCTGGGGAGTGAACCAGTGGATGGAAGATCTCTTTCTCTGTCTCTTCTCTCTCTGTCACTGTGCCCTTCAAATAAATAAATAAATCTTAAAAATACCCATACAAATATAGGAAGTTACGGCTGATACTTGTTGATATGCACAGACCGCAGTGTTGCTGAAATATGAAGACATATCTGCTTGACACATTCTTGGAGTTTTCCATTTTTGTTCAAAAAATTTTTTAAGAAAGTGCATTTTACGGAGGTACAAATAAATCTCCTACCTTATCAACATTCATTCGCTTAAACGATGCTTGCAGAAGTTTAAAATTGTGAATATATTCATGCTCCAACTTTGCTTGAAATTTTACTTTCTTCAAACTAATGCAGCCTGGAAAGAGCATATCCATGAACTGGCAATAGGCGGCTCCTAGAAAGAGACAAGCAAAGCATTGGCATGAGTCTGGTTTACCTGGATGTGACTGAGGACTGCCGGGAAGGAAAGGGATTGCGCGTAGAGGGATTCACGTCACTCAAGTGTCCCAATCATCACTGTACTCAGGCCTCTTTGTCCACCAAATGTCCTTTGCTGAAAGGAAAAGTCCGTGCCTCCAGGACACAGCACCTGCCACTTCCCCATTCCTGAGCACTGTGTGCTATGCTGCAGGCGCCAGAGCGTCACCAGGCCCCATGACCTATGGTAATGGCAAGGAAACCAGGGTAAGAATAACTTTTTCTAGTTTCTTATCAGATAAAAGGAACAGACTTTTTCTTCCATCTTAGCTGCTACCTACTTCAGGTCACCATAAGTAAATAAATTTAAGATGAAAAGTTAAAAGGTAAACATGAAAGAAAGCTCTCATGGAATATGTGGCTCAGGGTGGCATCTGGCCTAGTGGTCAAGCTGCCCGTTAGGACGCCCACATCCCATAATGCAGTGCCTGGGTTTGGTTTCCAGTTCCAGCTTCCTGCTCATGTAGATCTGCTGATGGGTCAACTGATTAGGTTTCTGTCATCCAGCCTGGACTGACATTTGGCCTGGCCCAGCCAAGGCTACTGTGAGCATCTGGGGAGTGAACCAGCAGATGAGAGTTCTCTGTGTCTCTATTTTTAAATGAATAAAAAATAAAAATAAATTTGTAGTTTAAAAAATATACATATGCCCAAGCTATTTTATATCTACCTTGCAAAGTGACTTAGGTGGAAACTGTGTAACTAAGACCTAAAACACCAAAATCAGCTGCTTGCCAATTTAATTCCAGTCCAGGGCAACGAGGCTGCCATATGAACACGGAGATGAAGACACAGACACCATGAAACGCACAGAATTTTAGAGTCATGCTGTGAAATAAATATCACTGAAATGCCCAGTAAGTCCCCTAAGGGAAAGGGATTTTTAAAAAATACAAAAACTCTTACAATATAACCATTTCAATGAAAAGATTACAGTAAGATCATGTTTACTGATTCATAACTTCTTAATAGTAAAAGCTAATGGCATCCAAAGCTGGATCCCAAGCTGGAATGATTCTTTTCCTTTTACATTAAGAACAGCAACCGAGTGGCAAGAATGGAACAGGCAGCCGTGTCGACATTCTTTCCTTGCTGTCTCCAGATCTCCTGGTCTGTTTCTACAATGTTTTGATGATCTCTGGTACATGAGATGCAGGCCACTCTCCTTCAAGTGGGAAAAACCATTCTGTCTCTTACGTCAAATAGATCCCCAGCATCCTTACTGAGACAGGAATCCCAGATGAGAAGGAACACAGCACTAGGAATCTGACGGCTGCTAGAACGGAAAACGCTGGGGGCAATTCACTTGTAGTAGGAACACAAAGCGGTGCAACACAGGCCGTACTAAACTCCCCAGAGTCTGCCTTAGGCTTCCTCTTAGATGCCGTACCCTGAACACTAATAGTGTAGTGGGCTCCTGGTCAAGCAGACGGACTGTTTCTAAAAAACACACCAAATAGGTACAACAAACCAAAACACAACACGAGGGCGGTGGTCAGAGAAACATCTGGTGCACTCAACCACCATCCATGTATTCAGCCCTTCCTTTAAAGAACCACCAGATGGAGCAAATCCCAACAGTCACCTAACATTACTCTACAGAGGGGAGCATGGAAACACAGCTGCCTCATTACCTGCTCTTTCAAGTTAGTTTCACTAATTCCACCTTTGGAGCATAAAATTAACCAATGGAGACCCAGATGCTACTACACATTCTTACAAACCAGGCAACCAAATCACTCACCACTGAAATTTAAAAAGAAGCAACAACTTTTGAAAACAAAACAAAAAAAAAAAAAGGAAGGAAAAAAATCATCTCTAAATATCAACATTTAGAAATGATTACTGGTATATATGTCACTCTAGTCTTTTTGGTATGGGTGGGGTGTTTTTTCTTAGAAACAAGAACCTATTTTAAAAATGTAATCATATTATATCTATTTTTATGTAAATCTTTTCTTAACATAATAGACCACGATTCTCTTTCAGGGTCACTTAATCCTCGACTAATATTTTTAATAGCTTTCTGATTTTATATCATGCTTAGCAACTTTCCCAAACCAACATTACATAAATATTCATGCATATTTCCTTCTTCAAGTACTTTTACGGTCTCGAGTTTTACATTTAAATTCTAAATCCATGTGGAATTTATTTTGGACTGTGATACCAAGTGTGGTTCCAATTTTAGTCATTCCAAATGTTAGTGGAAATCTGTCATTTCTGGCTCCCCTGCATTTGGACACCTTCCTACCTGGGGATGCTACAGGGCCCTGCCTCCCACCCTGGGAGCTGAAGGTAGGCAGACAGCCCTTTGCTGCACCCAGCAACAAGGACACAGGCCCTGCTCTGAGCTCTGGCTTTGGATACTCCTGTCTGGGCTTTTGAGAAGAGGGAGGGACAAATGCACAGGCCCAGCTGAGCGCAGTTGTGGAGGCAATGGTAGGTCTTGAGTCCAGAGTTACATGACAACAGCAAGGTGTCATCCTGGCCATCCCATCCCTGTGGCACAAGACAGCCTGCGTTCAGCCCCCTAGCCTCCTTTGGTTCCTATCATCTCCTGAGTTTGTCTTCCTATCAGCTAACTCTGAGCTGCTCAACAGCTTCCCTGGACATTTCTCTTCTGCTTAAACCTTCCAGGATTAATTTGTTATTTTCATCCCAGATTGCCAACTGAAAAAGTTAGCTGGGTGCTGAGCTGGTACTACAGAACAGAAAAACTATACTTTCCTTACTGATGAGTAGGATTACCTTTACTATACATTAATTTTCCTATTGCATGGATTTAGGTCTCTTCCTAGATTTTTTTTTAATTTGGCCATCTTGTGATAGTTCCATATTCTTATTTAAATTCTATAATATGTATTACTATCTGTGGAATAATTCCTCCTTCCCCCTTTCTCACAAATTTTCTTAATTTTTACCTTGCATTTATTCTTCCCATTCCATATTGTATTTGTTATTCACAGCATATAGAAAATAGCTTCAGAAAAACATTGAGTTGTTTATTTACTAATTAATAACACCTTTGAGATAATGCATATACCATAAAATTCACCATTTCAAAATGTACATTTCAGTGTTTTTAATATATTTATAGAACTTAAAATCCATTGCTACTATCTAATTCCAGAAGATTTTCATTACCACAGGAAACAAACTTCACACTCATTAGCAACCACTTGTATCTTCTCTCCTCTCTCCAACCCTGGCAACCATTAATCTAATTTCCTGTCTTTATGGATTTGCCTATTCTGGGCATTTTATAGAAATGGAATCACATAATATGTGGCCTTTGTGTCTGGTTTCTTTTCCTGAGCAAAATCTTTCCAAGGTTCATCAATGTTGTGGCACATATCAAGTCTTCCTTTTTTTACAGGTGAATACCATTCCACTGTATGCATACACTGTATTTCGTTGATCCACTCCTAAGACATCTGGGCTGCTTTCACTCTCAGGCTATTTTGAGTAATACTGTAATGAACATTTGTGTACGAGTTTCTGTGTGCTCACACATTTTTATTTCTCTTGGGTATCATCTACCTGGAAGGAATTCCTGGGCCATATGGAACTCATGTGAAGCATTTTGAAGAATGGCCAAACTGGGACCCGCATTGTGGCGTAGTGGAAAGGCCGCCGCCTGCAGTGCCGGCATCTCCTATGGGCGCTGGCTTGAGACCCTGCTGCTCTGCTTCTCTCCTGGTCCAGCTCTCTGCTATGGCCTGGGAAAGCAGTAGAAGATGGCCCAAGGCCTTGGGCCCCTGCACCTATCTGGGAGACCAGGAAGAAGCTCCTGTCTTCAGACTGGCACAGCTCCAGCTTTTGCAGCCATCTGGGAGTGAACCAGTGACGGAAGACCCTCCTACCCCCTCTCTTTCTGTCTCTAACTCCGCCTTTCAAATAAATAATAATTTTTTTTGAAAAAAAAAAAAAAATGACCAAACTGCTTGATAAAGCAGGTGTGCCATTTTACTTTCTCACTAGTAATGTATGAGAATTCTAATTTTTCCACATCTTTCCTATATTTATTATTGTTGGTTACTTTTTAAAGATTTATTTATTTTAAAGTCAGAATTACACAGAGAGAGGAGAGGCAGAGAGAGGTCTTCCGTCTGATGGTCCACTCCCAAGATGGCTGCAATGGCCAGAGCTGCACTGACCCAAAGCCAGGAGCCAGGAGTCCCCCCAGGGTCTCCCACATGGGTGCAGGGGCCCAAGGACTTGGGCCATCTTCTACTGCTTTCTCAGGCCATAGCAGAGAGCTAGATTGGAAGTGGTGCAGCCAGGACTCAAACCATATGGGATGCTGGCACTGCAGGTGGCAGCTTTACCCACCACGCCACTATCATATCCCCAGGCGGTGCCCATATGGGATACCAGCCTACTACACCATAGCACCTGCCACTAAAGTATGGGTTTATTTCTGGACTTTACATTCTGTTCCATTTAAATATCTAACCTACATCAGCAACACACTGCCTTGACTACTGTAGCTTTGCAGAAAGTTTTGAAATAAAAAGTAATTTCTCCAACTTTACTTTTCAGGATCAGTTTGCTAATTTCTGTAAAAAGGGAAGCTGAGATTTTGTTAGGGATTGCAATGAATCTAGAGAGATTAATTTGGGAGTACTGTCAACAAAGTCAAGTTTTACAGCCATGAACATGGGATTTTTCCCCCTTATTTAATTGCTTTCAACAGTGTATTACAGTTTTCAGTGTACAAATCTTTGTTAAATTTTTTTAGTATTTTATTCTCTTTAATATTATAAATGTATTTGTATTCATAATTTTGTTTTCAGATTGTTCCTTGTTATATAAAAATACAAATGGTTTTTGAGTATTCACCTTGTATCATGTAACCTTACTTAACTCATTTATTAGCCCTAATGTTTGTTTCTTTTGGTTGTCTCATTTCCC